CACACTATGATGACAGCTGTTGGACCTTCTGTTCCTTCAAAGGTCTGAACTGTCTGAACAATTTACTGTTGGTGAACACTGTGACTTTTTGTGTCAAAGCTGAACTGTGTGCAACAGCAGCTCGTGAATTCACTTCACCTGTCTATGTGAAATGATTCTGGTGATTTACAGAAATGAGCTGAGTACTCACAGTAATGCTGCTGACATTTGAACTTATTGCTGTGGCTTCTAACTGCTCACACTATTTTTTGTGTCAAGGTGGTTTCTTATTACTTCATCAGGAAGTACTTACTGCACTGCAGTTAGTTGGAAGAGAATGAAACACATATTTAGGCATTGCTTGTATCTTCTCTGAACAGAAGACATAAATAATTGTCACTTATGACCAGACTCATCAGATTTGAACGACCATTATTCATAACATACGAACCTAACTTGAATTTAAATATGTTATTACCCATACGTATAATGCCTACCTCCTCCTGTGTCGTCCTGTCCCACTGCGGTCAGACCCAGGTCTCCCTGCCAGCAGTTCTGGGCCAGGCTACCGCCACTGTCTCGCATTATCCACGGACAACCCACGACCTGCGCCAGCTCGTCACCTGCAAACAACATACACATTTACAGTGCGGTTCTAAACATACAATCAGCTCACAAACTGGTTTGAGAAACTCAATTATGTTGTAGGTTTGGAGATTAGTCTGAGGTGTCAAACAGAGCAAGCCACTCTACCCTCTATATAAATGCAGCTTGTTAGTTATCTTGCGGTGAGAGGGAACATTGCTTTGAACAAAGTTGCTCCACAGTGATCCACTCTCACTCAACACCGCTCATATTTCCTATTTATAAAATTCAATTGAGCCATATTTCTAATCCACAATGTATATCACTGCATTTCTGCACCATGAGATACCACATATCACTTTGTAAAACATTATTCAAGCTGCATTTATATACAGCATAGCTGAAGACCTGTCACTAGTAATGTTTTAGCCCCATCTATGATCTCAGCGTTCCAGATGTTACTCTGTGTTTCGGTCTCACAGTGCTGCCAATGTAAACTTTGGGGGAAATGTGACTCCTAATATTGTACCCGTTATTAAACAGTGGATCTTCAGACGTATTTTGGACTGTGAAAGATATCTCCTGTCAGCCTGGAAGGACAACACATGCATCCAGGTCAAAACCAACATTTGAATCCAAAATGTCCACAGACTGTGCTCGCCACAGGTTGGGACAGCGGGTTAACATATGTCACACAGTTCGGTATTGAAGCACTGCAGGTCAATATCTGATCACACTCTAGACAGAATAACAACAACGTCCCTCTGAAGTTGTCAAGTCCTGCTGGACATCAGGCAGCAAGGTGCTAATCTTTCAGCACTCACTGGTATAAAAACACACCACTTGCTTTCCAGTGACTGGCACAACTAGCGGGAACCTGCAGCACTTTTCCCATGAAATAGACAGGAGGCAGTCAATGTTAATGACCTCTGACCTTCCAACAGAACACTAATGTGTTATTTCACAAAACTAAGAAGCTATTTTAATGGTAGCTTTTAAAAATGGTCTGGTTGTACTAGCTAATGAGACAGAGTGCAACAACACCGGACTCTTTTTACCATGTGCACCTGGTCAGAGTGCGGACATGTACCTTAGCTTGCTAGCTAGACTGAGTGGGTTTACTGTACCACTGCCCAGCTGGGAGAATAACTGGGCAGCTGGGAGAATTAGCATTTATAACAGTAAATACTTGCATCCTGTGCAGGAAAGAATCAGTTAGAGCTGCTCTATGGTGAGAACAGTTGTTTCCGATGCAGGAAATAGTCCACACCAGAGCTAGCTTGAGCGCGACGAGCGCTAGCAACATCACCGCCAGTTTCACAATTTAATCCTAAATACAACTCACACCGATTGCAAACCTTCCGCTGTCAGTAACTATGGAAAGACAAAGCCACTGCACCACCATTGAGAACAATCTGTAATAACCAGACCTTGTCAGTAATCTGTTGTCTATCAATGCTAACATATTAGCTAGTTAGCCATGTTGTCGTCAGCTAGCTAAGCGTTAGTTAGGCAGATACCATGTTAGCAACAACAAAATGAAACGCCCGGCTTATGCATACCTTAAATAGCCAGGTGTTGCATGTGTGTGCTTACCGTTAACCTGCAGATTTATAAGAGTATGTGTCCAGCTGCTTCTGACTGACAGTAGGGTGTGTTTGATATTGTATGGCTATCGAACCAAAACAAATGCTAATTGGTGTTAAACCTCATTCAATGAAGTCAGGTGTGGAGCAGCCAGATGTCACCTCCTTGCGAACTTTGATTTCTTTTAGGTCTTCCGGTTCAAAGAAAAACGCAAATACCTCTAAGGAACGGTGGATTACAGTCTACGGTGTACGTGAAACCGACAGGAGGATTTTATTTCAGTTTTAACAGGTCTGTACGGAGACGAGTTGAGCCCTGAGCCGGACCGCTGCAGATTTTTCGCTCTTATGGCAACTACAAGTCCGTCGCGTAGCAATGGCGTCACACAGAGTATGTTTTTTAGGGATAGCCGTTAATTTTAGACCCTCACCTTCAGTCTCCTGGGAAACGCTTTCGCTACGTAACGAATTTTGAACAAAAATCAAATAGGCTAATGTAATTCACCTTCAGTGGCTGGGGTTAATTAAAGTGAAACATGAACTGGTTTCTTGAAGAGAAGACATCAGTAATTATTCGTCTGATTTAGTCTTTATTGTATCTGTAACTGAGTCAGATTTTGTTGTTGTTCCCTCATTTCTGTAAAGTATAATACGGTTAATCATGCATTTCTTTTGTATTCCATGAACATATTAGGACTTGGTGGTGCGTTCATGAAAGCTCTGTTGTAAAAATTCTTCTTTTGGGGTTTTTAGCAGTACAGACGCTACTAGCCGTGTCACTGCCCCCTGCAGGAAAATATTAACCATTTCAATCACATTTCATATGAGTCAAAGTAAAGATACTTCTGCTCAAATATTACTGCAATACAAGTGAAAGTACTGGAGTACTTGCCTTTAAAAATACTTAAATATTCAAAAGTCATAGTTGTGTTGTTCCACATTTACAGAACCTAATGACTCTGAAACAACCTGCTGAATGACTTAACTACTTGTATAACTTGTAGAATAAAAAGCTTGTAGGATATGCTTCAAATCTTGTAGAAATTGCCATAAAAATACAATTGAATGAACAAAAGGAATTATTGTTGTTTTCGTGTTTCTTCTTTTTTAGGCAGTAATGAAATTTGGTCATGGTAAACACAGCAAACATTTCAAACCATAGGAATCTTTCTTTATTTCTAAACCTTCAAACACAGACTTCAGATCAGACTTCAGTGGTGAAGAATCTTCTGCCTCATCTCTCTCTCTCTCTCAAGGAACAATTCTCCACCGTTACCACCAACTTTCCCACCATTTTAGCATTAGCATATTGTTCCTTATCTTTGCAACAAAACTTCTATAGCCATGGCTCCAAACCATTCTGCTGCCAGGGGAAATGAAGAAGGCTGCAGACCTAAGCAGTAGTTTCATGGAGAACTTTTAAGACCACCTATTTGCATCAGGACTGAAACATAAACCAGCAAAAGTTACAGTCTGCAACTCTGAGGAGGGTAATGGGTTAGTGACTGCCATCACATAGACAAGCATAACCTGGAGTTTACACACCACAAGGATATTGAGTGCATTCCTTTGGCAACTATAAACAAGAGGACAGTGTAAGCACTGATGCCTTTGTGAGCAGACCAAAGGATTGAACATGCAGTGACTTCAGACTGTGGTGTACTAATAGATGAACTGATAAGGGACAGAATGGTTCCTGTCATTTCTAATGAGCTAAAAGGATTTGACACTCTGCCACTGAGATCTGTGGAGCAGCAGAGATGTCACATACATGGATTAAAGCCATGACACAGGACAGACCAAGGGAAAACGTCAACACCATAATCTCACCCTAACAGGCAATGAAATCACCAACAAGGACCCAGAGGTGCTGCCTCATGCTGCTACTGCAGTGATATGCACAGGCGCAAGTGTGAAACTCAAGTGTGTATGAGGAAAAGCAAGGGCATATGACAACTGAAAGTAGCAGACAAACAAAGATAAGATGATAAGATGATAAGATGATGAGATGTATCTTTATTGATCCCCCATAGAGGAAATTCAAATTTGACAGCAGCACAAGGGGAAAATTTAATGAGAAATAGAATCTAAAACAAATAAGATAAATTAGAAATACTATATACATTAACAATATAAAATGCAATGTATGCTAATTCTTTACTCAGGTGAGACTTTATGCTTCGTTTGCATGTTCATGACCGAGTGTGAGGTTAGAGAGAAAAGAGGGAAAAGCAGAGGGCCAACAACAGAGCCCTGGTGTTCTCCATATTTAACATCAGAAAATGTAGATTTAGTATTATTCGAGGAAACACACTGTGTTTGTTGAGATAGGCTGAATATGATTTTAACCATGAGAGAGTCAGGCCTGAGATGCTAAAATTGGTTTTCCAATTGGTCAAGTAGAATACAATGATCTATGGTGTTAAAAACTGAAGTGAGATGAGTGAGTGAGTGAGTGAGAAGCAGAAGATAATGAACCAAGTTCTGTTGCAGTAGGACGACAGGCCCTGAAGGCAGACTGAAAAGGTTTAAAAATTACTGTTGGATATGTGGGCTAAAAGCTGCCGCTGATGATAATTAGCCAAGGCTAACCATACAGAGTGGTTTTGTTTTACTGTGAGACATCAGGAAATTTAAAAAGGAGTGGGATTTGACCACATCATGTGTTTGCCAAGACCCCAACAGTCTAATGGAAAAGCAGTGAAGTTTCGCAGAAAGGCAGGTGAGGATGCATGGATACCCACAGATGGTGTGCAAAGTTCCCAGCACAAAGACTAATGGCTGAGGACTGAAAACTATTTTACCAGTATGATAAACTACTAGAACCTGAGGTAATCACAGGTGTCTCAGAGAAGAGAGTCTCATTCAGACATGAAACAAAATTCATTCATTATTTGGGAACTGCTATTCAAAACAGTTTGCTTTTGTAGGTCACTGAATTTGAATAACTGAGGGTAACTGTAAAAAAAAAAGAGAGAATCTGGAACTAGAAACAACTAGAAAACAATGGATTTAGCAATTCTTTGCTAGTTAATAGCTCCCCCCTCTGGAGTTAAAACGTTATGGTGAGACCTGAGATAGAATGTCAACCCTGATCCTTGGCCTTTTACTCCAATACACCTCGTTGTTGTTCCTAAAGTATCAAACACAAACAAGTTCTATGTTTTACAAAGACACAATCCTACTTGTTTTTTTCCTTAGGGCTTCAGAAGTTCACATTCATCCAGCCTTTGATGTTTCACATTTGGAAGTTTGTTTCTAAGAGTTTCTGTCAAGATATTTTCAGTTGCACACATTTTATTTTTATTTTATCTTTTTTCAATGGATTATGAGTTGACAGTGGTTCTTAAAAAAATAAACAACTGTGGTTTTTAATGCTGCTGGCAGGGAAGCATTTTAGTAACTACATTTTAGTCACAAACAGAAATGTTCTGAATCACCACACCTAAATCTCTCAGTTCATTAAACAACAAAAAAGTAATAAGTCCTTGGAATATTATAGAACTTTTTACCTGAAACCTTTGACTGAATATGTTTATATTTTTGTACATTCATGTTTATATTTAATGCATTCATGCATTATTATTAATTATTTATCTATTTCTATTTTTTATTTCTAATGTTATATGTTATTATTATTCCTTGTCATTTTACATGAATGTTCGTTTTATGTCTTCTCAGGTGAAGTACTTGGTGCAATTAGTTTCTTTTTTTCGTAAAGCACTCTGTGCTATATTTCTTGTATGAAAGGTGCTAAAAAATAAATATTATCATAATTATTATTATTATTAGTGGATGTATGTATCCCTATATTTTTGTATGTATGTCTATTGCTTTCTTTTTATGTTTTTCATTTGTATTTGTGTCATTTAAAGTTGATTTGTATGTGCTGCTGTTGTTTAACTGAATTATCCTTTTAAAAATTGTAAAGTTTTACCAACAAGAGTTTCAGAATATAAGCTCAAACATTTTAAATGGATTTAAAGTATGGCAATGTTATTTATTGTTTAACCTTTATAGCTACAGTAGAGATTATTATTTCGTGTAAAAATAGTTTGACGTGCTTCATTTGTTGTGTAGGGGCTAAATAGCGAGTCACGTTTTTAATTCAGTTGAGGTGTGGAGACGGTGCTCTTGTTCTGAAAGATACAAACCGGAAATGTAGTTGCCTCTAGCGGAAGTAAAGCTCATGTAAGTCTCTGACCCACAGCTATAAATCTATGCGTACACAGGTCATCCCGACAACTGAGGAAGAAGAGGGACAACGACAGTAGCAGGGAAAGTTAACGTCGAGGTAAAGGGTAAGATATAACTTAACATGTACTCAGTGTTAACTGTTTACGAAGATGCTAGTTCTTCTTCACCTGTAGCAGCCACATAAACAACTTGTGTATCAGTGAACAGAGAAGAATTAAGTGAACTCTAGTAAAAATTAACATCTTATTTTCACCTGTTAGTCACTAAACAACAGGGTGTGTGTGACAGGTGGTGACGGTGGGACCAGACAAGGTTTAACGGCAGTCTCTTCATGTGGTACAGACTGCTGTGTAGTTTTATTTGTGAGGTGAACCGATAGATTCAGCCTTGAACTCTGCTCTGAGCTGATAGCAGCTGGACTACAAAGGTTACTTTGAATGAAAAGTAATTTGTACTTTAGTTTGAATAGCCAAATGTTCAGTGTTTCAATATCTCTTTTATTACCCTTTAACCCTCACACACAGGAGGGTGGTACAAGTGGGAGGTAACGGCCTGGACGTTGTCAACATCTGGGCACATACACATCTGCACTAGGTGTCTAAACTGCTGGCGTTCTTACATAAGATTAAGACGGACTATGTCCCAGCGTAGTCTTATGCTGGAACATTACATGGCCCCAGACATCCTGTGTAATAATAACAATAATAATAATAATAATAATGAAAATAATAAAATTAAACAATTCACTCATTGACCAAACGCAGTCCAGACATATACTAGGTTTTGACTTGTTTGATTAGGTCAAAAAACAGAGCCCACTCTATGTTTATTCAGTCCTCACAGTTTCATCAGAGTCGTGCCTCCTGTGATGAAACCATCTTTGAGTGTAAACAGTACAGACAGTATAGTGTTTTTTATAGTTTGGTCAACTCACAGAATTAATGTTAGTTACTGCTGTGTAAATTAGTCAGTAACAGTTGTAATTCAAACCTATGGTTGCTTACTGAAACCTCCACCTCCTACAGCTTGTTAAGGCACTGTTAGTTATGTGAAACTGTGGCATGATACAAGAAAGATTAATTGTTCAGGTCTATCATCATTGTTAATGGAAACATATTTACTCCACACGTTAATCAAATCCTGCCTCCTAATCCTAATTTTGTCCCTTATTACTTCTCAGAGACCAAAGTGCCTTAGGACCCTGCATGGAAACTTCTTCAGTCTGAACACAAGATGGACCATGAAGTGGCTGACCTCCCCTCCGGCCCCCTGGATATCTACAGGAAGAAAGCCTCTTTCAACTGGAAGGACATGCTTCTCTTCCTAGATGGAGAGGAAATCTTGGCATTCAAGGTAACATCAGAGTCTCTCTGGCTTTAAAGCAGCTCATTAGAACTCCTCTCGGGTTAAAAATAAAATACACTGGAGCACGGTAGTGGTGTGTATGGTGGATTACAAATCATTAATTGAACCAAAGAAACAAGTGGTTAAAATACTTTTTGAGAGAATAAACCAGGACGAACAGGGGAGAAGGTTCTTGGTAAGAGAGGAGACTAAGAACCTGATGGTCGCTCTGAGCTCCAGAGATCCTGCGTGGAGATGGAGAAACCTCCAGAAGAACAACCATCACTGCAGCTCTCCACTGATCTGGGTTTTATGTCAGAGTCCAGACGAAGCCTCTCCTCAGGGTCAGTTTGTATAAAAGCAGCTAAAGCACTCTGAGACTGAGAGAAACCAGACTCTCTGGTCTGATGAGACCAGGACTGAACCGTTTGGTCTCAGTTCTAAGAGTCATGTCACTGCTCATCACCTGAACAACGCCATCCCAACAGTGCAGCATGGTGGAGGCAGCATCAGGCAATGGGGGGAGGGCAGGGAGACTGGTTGGGCTGAGGGAAAGCTGAACAGAGTAAAGTACAGAGAGATCTTTAATGAAAACCTGGTCCAGAGCTCAGGACCTGAGGCTGGGCTGAAGGTTCACACAGCCAAGACAACACAGGAGAGGCTTAGAAAGGACTCTGTGAATGTCCCCGAGTAGACAAGCCAGAGTCCTGAGCCTGAACCCAATCCAAAGAGAGAGAAAATTAATTTTTAGTGCATTACACAGTGAGACAACATTTATGTATAGACTATAGTGTTTTGTTATGATGATGACATTGTTAACTATAAATTAAATCTGCTTGTTCTTCATGATGACTCCTCACTGGACTTCTAGTCTATGAAGAAATCTATATTTATGGATTTGGCTTCAGTGGATCAGACAAGGATTTCCATCAGTTCTGGATCGTGTCACAGACATAAAACAGCTGCTCTGTTATTAACACATTCATGTGGCTCTGCTGTGGTGAAACTACAATCTTGTGTCGTTTTTAAGTGTTGCTGCAGTCCTTTCCTTTCCAAAAGGAAGGAGATGAGATAGGAAACACTGAAGCTCCCGTCCTCATCATGTAGTGAAGTGGAGCAGCTCTGATCATGACTGCTGCTCAGATACTTCCTAAGCAAAAAAAGACTTTTCAGCCGCAGTCTCAGACTTCATTTTTACCTTGGACACAGCAGTTGAGAAACCAGTCTGACCCCAGCTGCTCTACAATTCCAGGACAACTGGTCGACACTTCAGCTGCTCTCAGCTCCTGTGTACAGATGGACAGTTTAATTGCCTTCAGGGCTTAAACTTGAAACTGAAATTTGAAATGCTTTAAGTGACTGATTTCAGCTTCTTTTACCTTTTCGGCACCATTCCTGGGTTCCTGTGTTATCTAAACGTTCCTCTCTCTTCTTCTCTGCTGCAGCACCATGTGTCCAGGACTCTGGAGAACGATCCTCTGTTTGCCCGTCGGCCCGGTGAAGACGTCCCCATGGAGAAGATGAGGGAGCTGACCTTCCTCAGGTACAGTTCAGTTCTTCTGTCGTACATCATCTCCGTATCTTTACACTGTACATGAAGGAACAAACATAAAGCTTCAGGGGAAAACCCACAGGGTGAAGCAGCTCTTCCGCTACGACTTCATTACAAAAGAGGAGGCGATGGCGAACCCCTGGAAGACCGTGGTCCTCAGTGACTGTCTGGGCATGTACGACTGGGCAATGTCCGCCAAGTTCTTCCTCAACAAAGGGGTGAGGGTGCGGGAGTGGTGGGAAGTGCAAAATGAAACACTGGACATTCGCTGCTAGCGAGGCTGTAGACCTGTTTCTCATCGTCTCAGTCCGGTTCTGTTCTTCTCTTTTAGATGTTTGGAGCAACTGTTGCCAACTCAGGATCAGGGAGACACAGCAGATACGTAGAGAACACTGAAGACATGACGGTAAGAGATCAACACAGCTTCACAAATAACACCACCTGACAGGTGTGTGGTGCTTTATTCATGGTTTAACTGGACAAATTCAGAGTGGGAGTCTTTGAGGACATCTCACAGTCCTGGCCATGAGCTTTTCCTCAGATTTAAGCAGCCTTCACACTGAATCATACAGTCTTCTTTGCATCCTTGTGTTCAGTATATTCATACTCCAAATTTAGTATTTAATATTAGGAATTACCATTGTTGTACAGGTTTATAGTTTTGCCTTTGAGATCTTATGCCTTCTGTATCTGTCTGTCTGTATCTGTCTGTGTCTGTCTGTATCTGTCTGTGTCTGTCTGTATCTCTCTGTATCTGTCTGTGTCTGTATCTGTCTGTATCTGTCTGTATCTGCCTGTGTCTGTCTGTATCTGTCTGTATCTGTCTGTGTCTCTCTGTGTCTGTCTGTATCTGTCTGTGTCTCTCTGTGTCTGTCTGTATCTGTCTGTATCTGTCTGTATCTGTCTGTGTCTGTCTGTGTCTGTCTGTGTCTGTATCTGTCTGTATCTGTCTGTATCTGTCTGTGTCTGTCTGTGTCTGTGTCTGTCTGTGTCTGTGTCTGTCTGTGTCTGTCTGTGTCTGTGTCTGTCTGCCTGTATCTTTCTGTATCTGTCTGTGTCTGTCTGTGTCTGTCTGTGTCTGTCTGTGTCTGTCTGTATCTGTCTGTGTCTGTCTGTCTGTATCTGTCTGTGTCTATCTGTGTCTGTAGACGTTTGGCTGCTTCGCACTGACTGAACTGAGTCATGGCAGCAACACCAGAGCCATGAGGACCACAGCCACGTACGACCCCTCCACCCAGGTCAGCACACACAGACAACACAACACGCACTTCACACACACACCACACACACGCTTTTATACAGTGATCCACTGGGAGGGGGCCTGACCTCCAGGGTGGGAACCATCAGTTAGTGACACAGCAAAATATATTTGTCTAGTTAAATGAATTTCTACAAATCAAAGAATATAAAACTCCTTCTCTGACAGTGTTTTGGTCCTCAGACCTTCAGCTGGCAGAGTCTGCTGGTTTACCCTGTATAACCTCACAGTGAATGATGGGTAATCGGGACTCCTGACCCCCCTGCTCTGCTCTGACAGTAAGCTTCCTGTCTGCAGGAGTTTGTGATCCACTCTCCAGACTTCGAGGCTGCCAAGTTCTGGGTGGGGAATCTCGGTAAGACGGCCACGCACGCTGTGGTGTTCGCTCAGCTCTACACACCCGACCGAGTCTGCCACGGCTTGCACTCCTTCATTGTCCCGGTGAGACGCTGACCTTTGACCCCTGACCGAGTTACAGCCGGTTACATCATCAGATGCTGTTAACTGATGTGATGTTACAAAATCCTATTACCCAAGTTTTCTTGTTATGAAACTTTGACTACGTGTGTCATATCCAGTGAAGCTCTAACCACTGTGCTGCAGGTGAGAGACCCTAAGACCCTGCTGGCTCTGCCAGGTGTGCTGGTGGGAGACATAGGGAAGAAGCTGGGCCAGAATGGACTGGATAATGGGTAAGATGAAACCAGAACATCTGCAACAGTGGTGCAGAGACAGAGGTGTGAGTGTAGTGTGGCGGGACAGTGTGGTGGGACAGTGTGTCGGTCAAGAGGTTTGATATCCAGTGTTTATTCCCCAGCTGACACTGCGACCACAGTGTGGTGCTGTCGACTTTAACACAGTTTAAACACTCGTCTTCTGTTGGTAGAAAAAAGAGTTTGTAGAAAAACATGGTTATACAGTTGAGAGCAAAAGTTTGCATCCCCCTTAAACCCTGGGTGAAATAATATATCTATGTAGTACAGTTCACCTTCAAAGTGACCTTCCATAGTCATTTGAATATTATTCCCTCTAAAGAACTTAATGGTACGGCCTAGCACAGCTGAGTCCACGTCCAAATTTATCTTAAATACCAAGCTCAAAAGTTAACACCTCCTTTGATAAATCCTTTAGGTCATTAACTTTAGTATTTAAAATCATGTGTCTGGACTTTAAAGAGCATTGTCAGCATTAATGCTGGATGAGTGGCAGGTGTGTTCAATCAGACCTGCATTTTATATTTGCAAGTGGGTAGAACCAACAACAGCAGTGGGAGCAGAGAGACAGGTGTCAGAAGACCTCCACATGAAACTGGTAAACTTTCATAAAGCTGGAGAGGGATGTAAAAATATTTCATACTAGCACCAACTGCGAAGACCATAATCCAGAAATGGAAGAAACATGGACACACTACATTGTTGTATTTATAAACGTATTATTGTATTAGTTTCAGTCCCTGTCCGATAAGATTCTGTCAGATTCTACCAGGTATTGACTCTGAGGATGAGACGATCATTTAAAGAAAAGTAAAAAGTTCCTTCTTGTCGTCTTTTAAGGTTAGTTCAGTCTAAGGATTTCTGTGTGGAAGCAGCTGTGTGCTAATGTGGAGACGAACACACCACCACTTCACTGTAAGCACAGTTTAAAGTCCTGCTGTTGTGTGACTCACGCCTCCAGTGTGTAACCAAGTATTCTCTTTGTCTTCTCACCTTCAGGTTTGCTTTGTTCCACAATGTGAGGATCCCCCGGGAGAATCTGCTGAATAAGACGGGAGATGTCACTGCTGACGGACGCTACCTGACTCCATTCAAGGTCGGTACCATTCCCACTGGTAGTAAAAGTGAGAACTCCAGAGACATTTCAGGTCAGGCTCCGGTGGTTTCTTAGTGTGGAGCTTTATCTCTCCCCTCTGGCAGTGAGAGGAAACACTGCTGAATACAGAGACATTTCCACAGTTCCAAGACAGTTATACATTACTAGCAGTAAGACGACGTCCATGTCTCTCAGTCTCTTCTCTTCCTTCAGCCTCTGCAATGAGGAAAAAACCACACCAGTGTTAATCTGTGTTTGTCCTCATCGTCCATCTCTTTCTTCTTCAGACTCTAATCCTTCCTCTGAACTCTGACTTCCTTTTTTTTTTTTCTGGAGCTTCAGAAAATTATCTTCCTCAGTTTTCCCTCCACAGGCTCCACCACACTCCTGCTGCTGTAGCCTACTGTGCCTCCATGGCTGAGGTCGATAGGTCAAAATAATCTCTTCTCTGACCACTTCTCCTCGACCTTAGTGGAAAATGTCAAGGAAAGATGTGAAGGAGAATTCAGAATAGACTGAGAGACAAAGACAAAGACAATCTGAAATGATGTATCTATTGTTTCTCTCTGTGTCCCTGTGTCTTCTCCTCCAGGACCCCAACAAGCGTTTTGGGGCCTCTCTGGGGGCCCTGTCAGGGGGCAGGGTGTCCATCACCAGGATGGCTCTGGTCAACCTGAAGCTGGCTCTGGTTGTGGCCATCCGCTTCTCAGCCACCAGGAGACAGTTTGGACCCAAAGACACAGAGGAGATCCCTGTTTTGGAGTACCAGCTACAGGTCAGAGTCCTGGCACTAGATCATAGAGACAGTAAGATATAAGACAAACAGTAAACGTCTGAATCTCTGGAGATACAGTCAAATGTCTAATAAGAACTAGTTTTCATTACCTGTACTCTGATGCTCTGAGTTTCTCGCACTTTCTTTTCTTCATGTAACAAACCTTTGATGAGGACAAGGACATGTCAGAGATACACAACCAGTGCAACAATGAAGAAACTCTCACAAAAGGAAACACAAAGCCAAATCCAGAAGCTCAGTCACTAGGTCCAACTTTTACCCCGTTTACACCTGCTATTAAAATGTGTTTTGTCTGGTCAGATTGTGATTGGATAGAGCTTGACCACATGACAGTACAGGTGTAATTGTACCCGATCAGAGAGAGATGCATTGTGACCACACTGAAGACAAGTGTTAATGGAACTGTGTTGTCAATCCACATACAACAACTATGTGGGCAGAAATACAAAATCATGCACAACTGTTAGCTGTTAGCTGTTAGCCATTAGCCAGCTGCATAAATCAGCATCTATCATATTTCGAAAAGCCAAACACAACAACACACCTTCACAGATGGCTCCAATCTTCTTCTATTCATCTTCTTATTTGGAAACAGAGACACGTTTTACCAAGACACATTCTTTTATTATTCTTTAATTATTGTTTTGTTAGAGAAATTACAAATTACATATTGTGCATTCAAAACTGGATAGAACAATTTGGTTCAATTTATAGGGAAAATAAATACAGTTTTTGAACAGTGAACTTCATAGTAATTCACTCCAATAAATTTCTAATGTAACCTAAAAAGTTTTGTCAGTGCACTGCAGGTTACAATGTGAAATTTGTCTACTGGCAACCATACAAGTCAACATTTATTACTGGGAATAAAGTTTCCAATGATAAATGAATTATAAATGTCTAATGTGTTACAAAGACGACCACGCTCCTGAATTTATCAAGACAACAGGTAAACATGGAGGAAGTGTTCAGTTTGAATCGACAGAAAATGAAAGACCCCTCTGATGAATCATAGCAGAGGATTTTTTCAGAGTTTAAAAAGGGGGGGGGGGGGGGGTTAAAAAA